ATGTCTTTTCCATTTTGCTCCCATTGTTAACTGGAAAGTGCTGTCGTTTGAATTTTTATTTTTATGTCTCAATTGAGTCTTGTGCAACATGTTGCATAACATGTTCTTCTGCATTGCATGTCCCGGCCACAACGAAATTGTGTGGCTTACAATTGTACACGCACGTGCAAATGCAAACATATGTAAGGAGACAGTTGTATGTTTTTATGATGTTTGCGCTGAAATATTTCAACTATTTACCAGCATTTAGTTGCAATACTTTTTAGAATTTGCTCTGCCTAATTTTTAATCCGATTTTAGGTGTCTTCAAAATTACTTTTCAAATTTGTTTAGTGTTAGAAATACCATGTTATGAGCTTTGTGCGTATTATCCATTTGAAATGTGATAACTCAGATATTTTAGAAATATGAGTAACCAGCAAATTTGAAATAATTATTTCATATAGCTGCTCTCCTTGCGGGACGTCCTATTCACTGTGCGATGCAAGCTTTATACTACAATGACAGTTCAGTCACGAAGCAAGTTTTGGATAAGCCGAATTGGACTCCTACCGCAAACTCTTTATGAGAGCTGGCTTCATCTATCAACCTTATAATTGTGTGCAAGGCGATTTCTACCGACCTTCCTTTTCAATAAGCGTGTTGAGCTATTGATAGGCAATCTCAAACAGACTCTGAAACATTTTCAGTAAGAAAGGACTAATTTGTCTGAATACCTTGGGGGAAACATTTTTGTGTAATATTGAAATTTGCGTCGAACGTTTTGTTGCTTTTATAAAAAAGTTAATTTATTTGTTTTTTTCTTTATATTTTTAATGAAAAGGCGTATTTACATGGCAATTCTGGCAACTTTCTTTCAACTCACCACAGTCTTTCAAAAGACAATTGTCAATTTGGGCAACAAACCCTTTACTGTCCTTCGAAAGGCTAGAAAGAGCTGCTTACTAAAGGATTTTATCGTTATTATGTTTGCCCTTTAGCAATCAGTTTTTTTTTAATTTAATAAAATAAAAAACTACTATTTTTCATTTTAAAATAATAAAAACTTAAAATTAAAATAAGAAAAAAAAACAAAATTAAAAGAAAAAATTTCGAAAAAAAACCTTTAAAACAATATAATCAGAAGATTAAAAGAAAATGAAATTAAAAAAAGAAAATGAGTTTCTAAACACATTAAAACATTAAAAACACATTGAAATTAGAAAAAAAAATCTTTTAAAATACAAAATCTATAAATTGAAAGAAAGTAAATTAAACGCCAATAAAAAAAATAAGTAAGAAAATTAAATTATTTCCTAAACATCCAATGAAATAAAAAAAGTATTTTTAAAGCAATACAATCTAAAAATAGAAATAAATTCAAACCAAAAAGAAAAAATATCAATTATAATAAAAGGAAAAAATTAAATATTTTCTTAAATTTGAATGGAAATATTTTATTTTTTTTTTAAACAATGAAATCTAAAAATTAAAAGAAAATTGTCATAAGAAAAGAAACAGAAAAGAACCTTAAAAATTCAATTAAAAAGAAATCATTTCGCTTTGAAACAATAAAATCTAAAAAAAAAAATTTTAATTAGTTTCTAAAGAACAAATGAAATTAAATATATATCAGCCCTGTTCTGCATTTCGATTCCGATCAAATTTTTCGAATCGAAATGGATTGGTGTTTTTGATTTCGGTTCCGACAAAATATTTTCGATTTGAAAAGTTTTCACTTTGGCTAGTCGTAATGAAAAGTAAATATATATGCTGTTTGTGATCCAAATATTTTCTTTTTAATTTTCATAATACTGAGAGAATTTATAAGTCATTATTGCTGTAATCTGTATCCAAATACTTTGATAAATCGGTATGAGCACAAAGTTCAGTGTGGTTCTCGCATACCCTCCCTGACCAGTTGAGGGAGAGGAAGGGGTAACCATCACCTGATTCCCAAAAAAGTGATCCTAGAAGAACAGAGAGTGTCCCAATCCTAGTCTCCTTTAAATAGCCATCAGGCCTCTTTAGTGAACGCAGCTTTATGGTTTGTTCCGTCTTCAGAACTTTTACCAGCCTAGCCGTTTGACTCAAGGTTTCAATTCGATTGCAGTATTCCTTACAAGAGGCTTCCTTCGCAGAGCGAATTATACTATGTTCCCACGGCACGTAATTTGCTCTCCCATTCGTAATTGGCTCTCTCATTCGTAACTGGCACTGTAAACAGTGAAGCCTGTTCCCGCTGTGCGCAATATTCTTTGCTCCACAGCTTTGAGCCAATCCCAGTTAATTAGGGAGACACATTTCACCACAATTGATTCATTACTTTCTTATGAACGAGCATTGGCTACAGTGCCGGAGGCAATGACGGCCCGAATCAGATGGATCTTTTAGTGTTCCGGACGTAATTGGAATGTTTTGATGCTTCGAGGGCATAGCGGGGGCAGTTCTGTCTCGACCGACTATTGGATCAGTTCTACCCTTCTACCCTTGGTTTTAGGCAGGGGTTTCGTGGTGCCAGAGGTCTATCTGGCTGATCGGAATTGGGCAATGCCTCACTAGTACCAGCAACACTATGACTCGAAGAGGCATTGGGACAGATATTCGTGGGTGTCACCGCCGTTGGCCTTATCTTGTAATGTTCGTCGCCAGCAGATTTAGATGTCGGTACATCCACCAATGTCCCACTGGCTGAAGTAACCTCCGTAGACCTGGTCCGCTTAATTAATGCAGCGAAAAGGGGAGATCGCTTAGCCACAGAAGAGGGTTTACCCTACTTGAGTTTCGCTCTTCGATACTCCTTCCCCTCCTCTTCTAGGTTTGTGAAAGAGGACCAACTCCGTCATTGGAAGGTCGTTGGCAGCGAGCTGCTTCTCGACCCACATCCCCTGCAAGTCATTGATCCTCTTCCAACTCTGAAGAAGAGAGGGCTGGAATTACCTCCCTACTCTCCTCCAGGATGCGCCTGCCGCAAATGCGGATGATTTTCCACAGATGCTACTACTAAAGTAGTTTAAAGTTAACCAAATACAAGTTGTTAATAAATTTGAAGATAGGACTTCTTTAATTTTCTCTGGAATCTTAGGAACATTGACACAAGGGCAAACATCTTCGGTCTTTTTCCTTATGTGTTATTTAAATTGTTGCATATATTTTGCATAAAAATTTCAATAACTGATAAACATGTATGTAGTAAAAAAATTACAAATTACAAAAAAATGCTATTTATCAAGTGCACAGAGTCAAGCCCAAAGTCTTTAGAACTATCTTGCCTACTATCTTTCAATTGTCTTACAAAGATTTTCAACTATCTTAGCCAGGATTGCCCTGTTAGCGTAATCAGACTGTTTATTCAGCTTATAAAGAATCTTTCGACGAACATTGTGAATTTTTAGCTAAAAAATATATACAAAATTTAATTATAAGAATAAGTTTCTTCCACTTTGTCAAGTTTACTGCGCCACAAATTATCTAAACGATCTCGCCTTTCACAATGTCAATGCTAAAATGTTGAACTTCAAGCCAATTCCCCACACGTACATATCTACATACAATCACATAACTGACTATCTTTGCATATCTTGTTCATTGTCAAATTCTTGAGGAAAACCGCAATTGTTGTTTCCTTAAAAAATTATATGGCACATGTTGCATGCAACATATTATTAGCGCATATTTGTCAGTGCAAAACGACGATGCTTGTTTAGACATCAAGTCACATGCACAGACAATGACAATATTGTTGTTGTTGTCAATAACTATGCACATTTTTTGTAAACTTACCTAAAGTATGGCCCAAGGGTAAGGCAATAAAATCAAAGCAAAGCTGCATGTGCACACCCACACACCCACATAGGAATATGCGCTTGTTGTACTATTTAGCGGCCAAACAAATTACGTGGCAAATAGTGCCAGACAAACTTTACATAAAAATTTTCAGGGCAAATTGCTGTGGGGCTGTGTGAGAAATGCGTTTTATCTCATTTTCTGTCGTTGCGCTGACAATACAAAGTAAAGTCGATGTAGCCGCAGGCGCAGGAAGTCAACAACGAGAACTGAGAAAACGTTGATGAGCGCCGCACCGCTGCAAAAATGACTGTGCCGTACGACTACTATAAAGCAACTAAAAGATGCAGATCGTGCAGATGCCTTGCTGCAAATGCTGTAGAGAAAGAGATGCGATTGCGTTGATAGCGCGCGCATTTAATCACCAATTGTTCATCGCTGCAACAATGCTTTGGGCCGAAAACGCTTGCCTGGCGGCTTCGCAGGCGGATGTTAAGCGGACGTCGTCGGCAATGTGAAGCGCAAAGGACCACCACGATGATTGGCGGCGACGTAAAACGACTCAAAATATTTTATGCCTTCAAGTGTGTGTGTGTGTGTTATATATGTAGATGCTATGGCGCGCAAAGCCGCATGCGTGGGTGGTAGTGGTGGCCAGCGCGCTCGTTGATTGCTGTGAATTTGGTTAATTTGTATTTTATTGTGCAACGATAAGTGAGCAGGATAAGACCAAGTGAGTTAACAGAATTCAGTTTTGGAGCGCCGAAGGAAAGCGCGACAAAGGAGAAAAATAAAAAACACAAAAAAGATATAAGCTTAATGCATGCAAAGCTGCTGCTTTGTTGATTGGTTGGCGCTGTGTTGGTGATTTTTTCCTCGCAACACAATTGTGAATGCTGTGAAAATAAAGTATTAGATCAGCATATCGATCGCTGTTTATATTATATAAAATGAAAATGCTAAGCAAAAAGCAATAAGAGTAGGAAGTGGCAACATTTTTCGTTAGCGTTGCATCATCATCATCATCGCCAGCGTGGCAAGAATGGCAAGTGCCAAGGGATTTGTGTTGCTTCACACATACCTACTCGTACATACATTTTTCTATAACAAAATTTGCATAATTGAACAAGCATTTTCCCAGCGCCAGCACCAGTTCAGGCTCCGTTTTTCACCATTTCATTCGTTTTATTTATTTTTGTTTTTTGAATTTCCATCTACTTGCCCGTGTGCAATAGCGCATGAACAATATGAACGCTTGCGGTTTGGCAAATTGTTGCAACGGCCAGCAACATTTAGCTGACAATGGCGCTAACAATAGCAACAACAATCAGCGTAGCTTATTTGCTTTCTTTGCAGCCAAGTGAGTAGCAGTAGTGCACATCCCGTATCCACCGCTCAATTGTCAGTCTAACTCTAATCTGCCCGCATAAGCTGACCGCTTTCGCTATAGCTTATAGGCCAGCGAATAGTATATATGTAGATGTTGAAGAAGATGACGCAGACGACGACGACGAAGAGTCACAGCAATTGTTGCTGGCAATTGTTGCAAATAATAGAGATTTGCTTTAATGATTTTGCTGGTCAATCGATGCAAGACAAACACATACACAAGTGCAGTAACAACGATGCACATTCGCAGTGTTAGCGATTTTTTGGCGGTTTTTTCAAACTTTTCTTTTAACTGTTTTCACAATTTGTTGTTGTTGCTCTGCAGTATAGCTTTTTTCGTTTGCCTTTATTGCTATTTTATGAGTCCATTTTGAGCTAAGACCTGAAATAAAACTCTGCAACTTGTGTGGTTTTTGGCTAAAAGGCTGAGAGCGTTAGGAGTTTGAAAAGAAAACCAAAAAAAATAAATAAAATAAAAAATCCTTTCTACACAGCCGAATACTTTAATAAGTGGAAAATTATTTCTTTAAAGATTATCATTGCTATCGGTTGTTTGCTTAATAGACCTGCATTTAAGTTTATATGGAAATTATGTAAGTCAATAGCGCATTAAATGAAACTGCTAAACGCGCAATCATAGAGCGGGCGGAAGTTTGTGCCTAAAGTCTTTTGAATATGCGCACAATCAGTCAGCTAGCTGCAAGCGCAGGCTGCATGTATTAGATGCGCATATTATATGCATTTGCACATATACCTACTTACATACACATAAAATAGTCATGCTTCAACACACACACATTTACATACATACATAAACATATATATATAAACACTTGCATGAAGCGCTTGTGGGTGGTCCTGCTTTAGCGCACTGCTGACTAACCGTTCAGTTAGCTAGGCCAGCCTCACACAACTGGTCACTTATATAGCTGCGGGCATTTTGTGCCTTATCTGCTTGCAAAATATTCAACCCAAAAAAAGTGTTTGATTTTTTATTGGAAATTAATAGCATTTCGATATTTCACTAAGACTTAATGCTAATGAATGTGAAATGCTATATAAATTTGGTGATTTTAAATCATCCGAACTTTGTAGGCAGTTAAACGAAAACATACATGTACACTTACATACATACATACATATGCATCTAAATGAGCATTAAAATCACATTGAAAGCAACGCCAGCAAGGCGAGACATTGAGAAATTAACTTCAAGCATACTTAAATATTTTCGTAACCTTCTCCAAATTTGAAATTTGTGAGGATGCGCTGCTGCTGACTCAAGCCAGTCGCAAATTAACCAATGACATTTCTTCATCTACTCGAACATACACATTGTACAAGCAACACGCGACAATAACAAAGTTTATATATATGTTTAAATATATGTTTCAATTTCATGCAAACGCAAATGAAAACGAAAATAGTAAAGTGTTTATGATAACTATACGACACTCACATATTAAAAAGTTTATAATTTTTTTCTTAATTATTTTTTCATTAAAAGTTAAGTTTCAATCTTTGTGCAATATGTAAAAAAGTCTATAAAGTTTTGTAAAAAATTCGTGCTTTTTAATTAGATTTCTCAGAAAGATTTGGAGTAGGCAGTTTTGTAGCCCATTTAGTTTTGGTATAAAAAAGTGCAAGCTTCAAGGACTTGCCATTGATTTGAGGCAATTTTTTTTTTTTGTTGAAGGTGTTGTTAATTTTCTCCATATAAAAAAATCGTCGAATATACATAGTATGGAAGAAAATGACAGACAGAGTCAACAAACAAAGGCCAAAAATCAACGGTAAGTCCTGGCTAATTCAAACTTGCACTTTATTGCACCAAAATTATATGGGCAACAAAATTATATACTGCAAGTCTTTCTGAGGAATCTAATTAAAAATTCGAAATTTTGACAAAATTTTTTTTTATTTTATTTTTTTTTTTTATGTTGCAAAAAGTTTGAAAATTTGATTTATGCAGTTGTTGTTTAAGAATAAAGTATATATTTTTATAAAAAAATAATTAAACTTAAACAAAAATAAAATGAACTTACTTTTAAAACTTATAAATAAGTAGGTGTAGTATAGTAATGCGAATCACTATATATACGTACACAAATCACACTCTTATATCCAACATTGAACTTGAAAAAAAGGTCTCCTCCAAATGTTATTTGCTTATATTTGCATGAGTTGATTTTATCTTTTTTTAGATTTAAATTTTTGACTGTTGTATACTAATTTATAGCTACTTAAGTGTTGTTCCAACAACACTTTTTTCATTGACTTTGCACATATTTTTGTTTGGCATTGTGTCGTTTTTGTTTTATTTATTTGTTTTATTTCTCAGCTGCCTGCGAGTCAATGAATGTGCGTTTGAAATGCATCGCAGCTTCATTAATGTGCCACATAATTTGTAGGTGATGTCAAACGTTGTTACTTAACTTACATACTTCCATACATATGCATACATTGATTTTTAAGTATACAAGGGGCAGTGGCGTCCAAAATAAATTTGTTAGGTGAAGTGTCCCAGCAACTGTTCGCAGAGAATAAACTTGCATATCTTAGACTTGGATAACTTTACAACTTAGTTAGTACCTAGGTGCAGATCTTCAACAAAGTTGTGTGCCCTCTTTTGGTGGCTGCCTCTACTAAGGTTAAATCCCGCTAATGATACTGTAGCACTTTCTCTCTTGTTTATTTAGGACGCGTCTCTGTAGATATTCATCGAGTGGACTACCCTCGTGCCTTCTCAGCCCGGGATCTCAATATTGGCTCTGAGGCTCACTGCAAAGCAGAGCACCGTGATAACGTGGGTGGGTGTATGGATGCGGCCCCATTTTAACGAATGCCTTACTATGCTAAGGGGCGCTGAAGCAGCGAACTAATTGCCTCAATACTCATGGCAACAAAATAAACAAACGCGGCAAAAAAAAAAACAATGAAAAAACTGGCGGAAGCGGCCATAAAGGCTCCAAAGAGACACGTACGCTTCAAGAGGACAATGGCGTCAGCCAATATGCCTCCCAGTAGTGCCCACTGAGGTACACGAAAGCTCCGTGGAGCTGGTACCAATACCTCCTAAAGAAAGGGCTGAAGCATATATCAAAGTGCAGATTCCATTCGCCAAACCCCAAATCCAGGGGAAAAAGACTCCGATATGAGACCGTTCAGAACAAATCACTCCGTCTGATCCTGGTTCCAAAAAGCTGCCGATAAACAAAGAACCATCGTCATAGAGGGCTGCAGCTGCTGCGACATATAAGAGACAGCTGCGAGTCTTGAGGCTACCAAGGGAAGGATTAATTTGCCCTTTGGTCAGGTTACACTCCGGTATAAAGCGGCAGTTGTAAACGCCGATGAGCTGACCAAAGAAATGGAAGTAGTAGGACTCGAGGAGGAGAGGACAAGTCTCCCAGTAAATCCGAGATGAAAGCCAATGCATGGTGGGGTGCATACGGGCGAAACTTTAGAATGCAAAGGTAGAAACGGTGGAGCTTAGGAGGAGATTTGCCGGTTAAAATACTAGACGGTACTAGTTGTCATACTGGATATCGCCCACGTCTTAATAAGTAGGCAATATGGCAGAACAAAAATCTCTATACTTTTGGACAGCCAATCTGTCCTCAAAGCTCTACTCGTTCTCATGATTAACCATTATTATTAACCTTGCAGAGGGTCATAGAGCAGTCAATGATCAAACTGCCCAAATTAATGTCTCCTTATATTGGGTGGCTAGTCATGAGGGCTATGATGGCAATGAAAAACCAGACCTCCAAGCTAAAAAAAATTTATTATTTATTATTTATATTATTATTATATTATTTATTATTAGGCCCAGCCCATTTCGTGGATTCACCAACAAGGTTATCAAGAGGGATCTCAGCAAGTGAGCAATATTCTGCACTGTTGGCCATTGGGATAAATTAGAGGGAAACCATAACTCAAAGAAACTTCTTCTGCTTCAGTGACAAACCGTATGGTGCCCAATATTCTCAAAAATTTCGAAATGTTACTTTCAAGTTGCACTGGTGACAGCCAACCATACATTGCCACCCACCATTTGGTAGCCACGTTGCTTAGGTATCCGTGTCTTCTAGTAGCGTGACAAATGTTGTAAAAATCCTGAGGCATGTCTAAACTTAAGACTCTAAGGCTACTAAGATGGTTCTTTCACAGGGTTAATTAAGGTTAAGGCCGCCAGTGATCTTAGTATTTACGGCATTAAGCGCTGTGGTGGTGGTGTTCGCTTTACAAATATTGCTGCTTTAGTGGGGTCAGGTGACATGCGAGATAGTCTCCTACTGCCCGACTTAATTCTTTCTTCATCAGAATGCATATTAGTTTTGCAGGATTTTGGCATCCGCTTGTCTACCCGAAAATTATAGCTGATAAACTCTCGGACTTACCTACCGAAGGACGTAGCTTCAGTTCCAACAAGCTGCGGCAGCTGAATGTAATTTCCATAGTAATTAAGTCCGCAAATATTGTAGGTTTGGTCACGCGCCACGTGCCTCGCGTTTTCAAATGAACGAACTATTTATTAAAGCAACTTTTCTGCTGTAAACAAATTGATTTGTTTCTTTATGTTTTGTCCCCTAAACAAGCATATCGCTAGCCAAAGATAAATTTCTTTCTGCTCCACCAGATTTCTATCCGAATACTCCCCTAACTCATACTACTAGCTATACTTATTTTCAGCACTTTTTCCGGGTATTTAAGCTAAGTATCAGTGCTGAGAGAAGTGACGGTAAGAGTGCTATCTTGGTTTAAAATGACTAAGTTAGTAATAAGAATATGAGCGAAAATAAAATAATTGCGAGTGTTGATCTCGAAGCTTACCTACACTGTGTGCCTGGAGTAGTAGTAGTAGTAGCAGTATTTCATGCAGGATGGGAATGAGGTGCCATCAATGAGGGCTGACAAATTTTATTGAAAAAAATATATAAAAAATTAAAGCATAACCCTTCAAGCATACCTAACTCCGCCCATGCACTCAACAAAGGATTTCTTTTTAAGCGGCGGCAATTTATACGTGTGAGAAGATAGCATATAAAAACAACCAAAATATCAAAGTTAATAAACTACAGATCAGCTAAGCGACTCAAAGCGAATTGAGCTCAAGTTCAGGCCGGCACATAAAACATACTTTTTGAACATGAACTTATGTGTATAGATTTGCATGC